CAATGCTTGATCAAGAAGTATTATCTTCCGGCGTTTGCAATTTACTGAGTTTTCGTGTAAAGTTAGTTTTCAAAGGATTTATACCAGTTGAGGCTTGTCTACTTCTGTTATGATAGCCCCATATACTTTTTACGGTAATATTAGCTATAAGCATTCTCTGATCACACAGTTTTATATTAGTTGATGCCTTGATGTCATTAAACTAACGGTGATTATTTGAGATTAAAAAATCAATTGGGGATTTCTGCCGTGCTCTCACGAAGGTGTAAGTATTTATTTCTCTGTAGCAAAAGGAGGTGTTTTCGATTTTAAAGTTCTTATTTCTGCAGAAATCGAGAATTTTCTTGCTATTCTCGCTATTTGGTTTACTGATATACTTATATTCATTTAGAATGCTACCCAAGACTAGCTGTTGGAAGTGGTACCCGAGCAATAGATTTTATAATCATTAAAGTTTGCAGTGTTATTCCCTGGACAGTGGGTTTTATGTATGCCTATAATGTATATTTCTCTGCTTCCAACATCCTTAAAAGAACCGCTAGTTTGTTTTTTATTCCATTGACTTTAAGAGACGCCGTTTGTGACTTGTCTGTTAATTTGGTCTCCATTTGGTTATGCCTTTAAACCAATAAAAATTTTTATAAGGATCCAGGTAATCTTGGAAAGGATTGTTTTTGATTTAGAATAAAGATTTGAGATAAAAAATTGTAATAAAGGAAAAATTATTTTAAAAATAATTCCAGCTTTTATATGAAAAATGGGGGAGATTTCAAAAGAGTTGAGATTTATATTTCTTTAATTGTCATAGAAATTTAAGAGGGGAATGGATAAATGAAGTAGTGATAGGTAGGGGAAGTTATATTTTTTAAAAAGATTAAAGGTCAGAAATGGGTGGGTAGCCCTCCCATTCAAGCCTTCTCATTCTACGAACGTGAGAAGGATATTTCTAAATGAGACATTGGGCGAGCGAGCTGATGGGTTAAAATATTCTTAAAGAAATGAAAATTAAAATATAAGAATTGGAAAAGAAAAATGAAGGAAAAGGAGTGTATGGGAATGATGAAAGGGAAAATAAAAAGTGTTATAATTGTGGGAAGTTTGGACATATCAGTAGGGGGTGTAATGAAAGGAGAAATCCAAATATGTTAACCATAATTTGTAAAAGGTGTGGAAATAAAGGGCATAAAACTGAGGAGTGTTATGTTCCGGCATACAAAATGGTGAATGAAAATCAAAAAGCTTGTGGAAATTGTGGAAATTGGTCATGGTCATGATAAGCGTTTTAAGAATCAACAAGAAAATTCTAAAGCATTTCCGGCGGTAGAATATATAAAAAAGGGGGAAAGAAATATCTACGAAAAAAGGAATGTCGAAGATGTAACATGTTTCAAATGTCGTAACATTGGGCATTATGCGAGAGATTGTCCCGTCACATGACTATATGGTGGACAGGAATCAATATGTGGGGTTATTACATCGGAAACCCCATTGGACAAGGGAAAAACTTTATTATTAGAAAATGTATTAAATATTGAAAATAATTTGGAAATTGAAGAAAGGAAAAATAGTAATAAATTAATGGTTAAAAATAAGGGGAATGAGTGGCCCAGGGCAAATATACAAATTTGTATTATATCAAATTTGGTGAAAAAAGATATTATTTATGATGAATGTCCGAGGGTGAAAATTAATGTGGGAAACAAGGAAATTGTAATGTTATTAGATACGGGGGCAACTATATCGATAATGGGGTATAAGGAATTTTCAAATTTATGGCCGAATGAGCAATTAATAAATGATAAAATGATAATTAAACAGTTAAATGGAACTGTAATTTCGGTTTTGGGGAAGGTGAATTTACCAGTGTTAGTTAAAGGGGTAGTACAATTTTTGGATTTGTGGATAATAAAAGAAGAGGTTGGTGCGATTTTGGGATGGAATTGTATATCTAAATTTTGATTAGAAAATAAATTTTTGAATATGTTTCAAGGGAAAATGGACGATAAAAACATTGAAAAGTTAGAAACATCCGTAAAGGAGGTGGATATTAAAATTTCGGAAAATGAATTAGTGGAAAATGAATTGGTGGAAATTGAAATTTTGGAGAATATTAAAGTGGAAAATATGAAAAATGATAATCAGGAAATTTGTGATAATGAAAGAAATGGAATTTCGGAAATTGAAATATTAAAAATTGATGAAATTAAAAATTTGAGAAATAATTCTGAGGAAATTCAGAAGGAGGAAGTAATTATAAATGAAAAAATGGATCAGGAGGAACCTGATTGTGTGAATAATAAAAATCCTATAGGTATAATGTATGATTCAGGAATTGAGGAAAATATTGATTTGGATATTGATAATATGTCTGTTGATGTAGAAATGGATAATATTTTGGAAACAAGTGATGAAAATTTTAATTTTGAGGTAGACAAAAAGTTGATTTCAAAGGAATCGGGGTTGGAGGATGGTTATATGAGTGGTGATGAAATTTATAAAGACTCTTTAGAAAGGGAGAAATTTCCTGCATCAGAAAATTTTCCGGTGAAATTAGTAAGGAAAAAATTTGAGTATACAAGAAAATATTTGGATATTAATCAATCGGAGGAAAGAAAGTTTGAAAGAGATAAATATCCGGTGTTAGAGATTATACCAGCGAAATTAGTAAGAAAAAAATTTAGAATTAAAAGTGTGGTAGAAGGAGGTAAATTTTGAAGGGTATTATAAAATTGGTGTGGTAAAAAAGATATGGGTCGCTTAGTCCACGGGAAAGAAATAGAGAAAATTAGAAGTGAAATTGGATATATATAGATATAGGTATTTATAATTATTTTGGTAAGTGTGTTAAATTGTATTATAAGATTGGTGGGGTAAAAGGAATATGGATTGCTTAGTTCATTTCGAGTTGTGATTATTAAAATATTTGTTCGGTTCATTTTGAGTTATGGTTATTAAAATATTTGTGTAAGGATCATAGAAAAAAAACTGAGATATAGTTTGGTATATATGTATATATATATAATTGAATAGTTAGAAGTATGTAAAGGTAAAGGTAAGAATTATCTTAGTATATGAGATACATATAACTGAATATGTTGATAATTCGTTTGGTTTAACAAAAATGTATATGGCAGGTCATCTTTTGTTTTATTAAATTTTTGTTCTTAAGTGAAGTGAAGCATATCGTGGTTAATAATTTTTTTCTTGTGTTAAAAAAAAACAGTTGAGAGAAAGGAAAAGTTGAAGAGGGAAATTATTTTATAGTAATGTAAATTGTGTTAACTTTTTAAATTGATAGAATGTTAAGATAAGAAATCAATTTATTTGGTAGAAAGAAACTAATTTATATTTAACATGTGCACCGAGAAATAAAAGAGTCGATAAAAAGGGGGTATGTTTGTAAAAAATTGAAATGGTAAAATATATTAATTATTTTAAATTAATAATAAAAATAAATGGAAATTGAAGGATAGATTATTTTGTTTCAAGGAAAAATATAATCGTTGATTATGACTGAGAAAAATTCTATTTACAATGATTGCGAGAATATTACACCAATGATTCAGAATAAGCGATAATAAGACCAACTATCAAACTATCCACAATGACGCGATAATCAACTTTCAAGTTCGGATGCAGCCAATCATTTAACTACCAACTTAGTGTTCGATAATACGATAACTTTAGATGATGCAAAGCAAATGATCCATTATGCAATAATGTACTAACGAAATTGCTAAAGACCGATAACTCGATGATAAAAAAATGATGAACAATACGACCGACGATGAAAAAATGATGAACAATACGACCGATCAATTAATGGTGTCAACAACAATATGAAAATTGATATATTACAAAGAATAATAGTTTTTTTTTTAAAAGATTTTGAATTAGTGTCCTGAGAATGCCTCTTAAAAATAAGGGAGGTGTTCTAGGTATATGTATATTATTATTATTATTATTGTTATTAATTTAAAGAAAATAATATTGATTTTTTTTATGTATAAAATATTATTATTATTATTATTATTATTCATTGTTAGATTTTAGTTTTGGAGAATAAAAGATTTTGTTAATAATTCCAAAAGTAAATGATTCGAGTATTTTAGTTTTGAAGAATAAAAGATTTTGTTAATAATTCCAAAATAAATAAAATCTCAAAATATATATTTATAATTAATATAATATTGGGTAAATATTAACTACTTAACACCTATAGCATCAATTATAATGTGATATCCGGATCTATTATTAATATTTTTTATCCTGCCTTTTATTTGTTTGTGTTATATGGATGAATAAATACTGTTTTTGAAATTATTATATTTATTATATTGGCCCAGTCATGGATGTAAATGTAAGTATGAATGCAATCTAATTTATAGAAGTCTTTAAATATTTTTTATTCTACATTAGATTCCAAGTCTTATAATATATTTCCTCAAAAATAAACCGTTACTACACATCTCTGTTTAGTAAAATAGATATTAACCTCTACTATTTAGGAGGTTTGTCAGATATTAGAGAAAAAAGGTACTCACTTATACCCACTGCTAAGCCATTGATGACCCCCCTTCCTCCAATTAGCCTCCTAAGTGAAAAAATAAAAACGGAAATCAAATTTAGCAAAAAAAAGGGAAATTTGAAATCAAAATTAGCAAAAAAAGAAATATAAATAAGAAATCTGTAATGGAAGGGTTTTAACCCTCAATGCCCCCCAAGTACCCATTGTCCTTGGCTATTTTTAAATTCCTCCGTACACCCATACATTTATGTAAAAATTTATTTAACATTCCGGTCCACAAAATTTTTAAATATTATTTTAAAGGTTGGTTTGGCTCCTTATTTATTTTATCTTGATGCAGTTTTATTTAAATAGAAATTATACAAATTTTTAATGAGAAGTCTGTTCTCCTTATTTCGCCCAAAAAATATTTTAAATAGAATTGACAAAATGTCAATTGCCATTTTTATTAAAATTCCAGTATATTATTTTAGACCTCTCAACTATGTTCGGTAACTAGAAATATTTTCCCTAAAAATAATGGTACTGTTATAATGTGTAAATATTATTTTTATTCATAAATTATAGGGCAAAAAGAAAAATTATATTGATAAGAAGAATAGCCATACAATTGATCTTACACCATATATGGGTAAGGGAAAAGTATTTGATGACAATTTTAAATTAAAAGATGTAAATTTTTATAATTATAAAGGTTAATGCACACATATATATAAATAGGATAGTGCTACGCGTTTAAGTCAGCAAATTAAACATGGCATTTATTTTGAAGATGATTATAATTATTTGCAACATTTAAAAAGTTCTTTGGAATATGATCCTAACATTGTTTCTGTATTGCAACTTAAAGCTGATGAAGTAATACTATAAATTTAAAATATTGCAACATTTTTTTAGAAAATCCTTAAGCAATCAATTGAAAATAAAGAAATCATAAATGACAATATTATTGGTATATTTTTTTTATCATTTTTTATTGATGACATATTTTCAAAGATCCAGATATAAATCTTACATTTGAAGAGAATTTTGATTTTGAAAACCCAGAAAATTTACTAGAGAATGATTTTATCATGCAGGCCAATGATTTTAACACTTCTAAATTCATCAATTCTTACACAAATGAAAATGATCTTAACATAGTTGGAAGCACTGATTCTCAATGTGATAGTGAGTCTACTCATAACTCTGATATAGAGTATGGTATTTCTTCTAATATAAATGATAGTAGTTTTGAACACATAAATAATAATACTGAATTGGATGAAAAATTTGAACAGGTTAGATTTTAATTTTTTTTTAATATTCCATTATTTCTCATATAAATAAGGTTTATCAAATGTATGATGATGATAATATTGGTGGTCTTAGTGAAAAAAATTCAATAGTTGATGGAGATGATAACTGTGAAAGTAACTTACAGACTTTATTGGAAAACCAGGAAATGGCTCAGTTAACAATTTTATTTAAAAAATATATTTTTTATTTCATATCAATGATGAATGTTGTAAAAGGTTTTATTTGTTGAAATACTTTTCATATATTGACTATCTTTGAATTTTCAGATTGAAAATATATGAGAAGTGATACAAAGATGACAAAATATGTTTTTCTGATTGATTTATATCATTTTTTATTTAAATATCAATAATTTTTTAATCAATCATGATGATTACTAAAATTTTATATTTAATAATTAAAGAAGCTCCAAAAAGTGGGACAAATTCATAATAGATGTACCTAAAGATTCACCTCATATCAAAAAATATATTTATGAACAAGATGAAACAGAAAATTTGCCTGATGATTTAAGTTCCCAATCTGAAGAGTCAATTTATGAAGAGAAATATGATGTGGAATCAATATTGAGTATAAAATAAATATGATAGAGATGCACTGTTATCACATTTTTAGCCAATACCAATTCCAATGCAGTATTGACAAATATCTGATACCAATTAAGATTTTTCCCCAATCTTTATTTTCACAAAAAAATATTTTTTTAAAAAAAATTTAAACTATAAAAATGCCTTTCAAATTTAAGGAAGCTTGTAGTCATAATTTGTTTCCTTGATATATTTATTTGATTTGCCAAACTGATCATGAAGATATTTCTTTTCTGATTGGCTCATTTAATATCTGTAAATTAAGATTATATCTTCAATGTTGACTTGGAATTATTGGATATATTAAATAAATGCAGAAATTAAATAATCACCTACATAAAAATCCATATTAATAATGGTGTATAACCTATTTTGACTGAAATAGACAAAAAATATGATTTAATGCATTTCAAATGGTCTCGTGCAAATTGGTAAAATTACCGTTTGGCATTAGCGACCATTTAAAAAAAACGCAAATAAGTTAGCTTTTTCATTCCTTTTTTTCATTCTTCACTTTTTGAAATATTATATAAAATGTAATAAATAACTTACTTATATCCTAAAAAGGAATATTTAGAAACTAAAGAAATAAGAAAGCAATGAAAATATAATTTTCAAAGACAAATCCTTATTTTTTTTAGAACTTATTTAAAATCGACGATATTAATAAAAAGGCAATTTCTAAACAAGGGATGCGTTACGTTTTTTTTATTAAAAAATTACGGCAAAACATAAACGCTCAATTTGTGTGCACTATTATGTAAGCCCGGATATTTTGCTCATAGGTGGCTAAAAAAGGTTTGGAATCTATTCGCAAAATCTCTAGGCTTACATAATATTGTTATGGCTAAAAATCTTAATCGGCTCGTTTTTAAAAATCTACCCGCTTAACAACACTAATCAATGATAATCCTTAGGTATCGGTTATATCTAAGATATCAGTGCCTCTCTGCCAAAAAAAAACGTTACCATAAATACTATTTTATTTTGATACCTTTAATTTAACTTAAAATTTTTCTTGATAAGTCAACCATTAAAATTTTTGAAAAGATTTTATATTAAATTATCCTTGCCATTTTCAAATCTCATTCTAACGAGTAAGAAAAATTATTATGGGTCAGAATTGTAAAAAAGAAAGAAAGAAGAAAATGCAAAGAACTAAGGATTTAAATGTTTTATATTCAGATTATACTTAAATTATAAAAATCAGGTATACAGAATGATTATAAATACAAGCCTATCCTGGTGTGTGACCCTCTTAAAGTGAGCTATATATGATATTAATGATGAATTTTTTTGGGAGACATGCAGAAGAATATTTTACTTGTATAATTTAACCCTTGAGCATTTTTAGAGTTCGTGCAGGCTCTTAGAGTAGTTCTGTTAAACGACTCTTCGATTAAGATTTTAGCCAAAAATAATATCATGTAAGCCTGCAGATTTTGCTCACAGGTGGCAAGAAAGGCTTGGATCTCTATTTGCCAAATCTCGAGGCTTACATAATATTTATTTTGGCTGAAATCTTAATAGGAACCATTTTAAATATCGCCCAATTTGATTAGTAATACAACACTACTGGGTTTTTTTTAATTAGCTTAATAATTTTGGCTAAACGTGTTATAGAAAATTAGTCGATTTTTTTAATCAATTTTTTTTTAGAATGCTTATAATTTCAATATATAATTGAATATTTTTATAGAAATTGATTTTGCTATTTAAATAGATAAAATAATTCACACAATTTACCGTTTTAACTCAAAGAACTAAAATTTTCAACTGCAAAATTTTATTAGCCAACAAAATATACATCTACAAAAAAAAACAGTTATTAAAATTATAAAATCTCGTCCCTTTTATACTTTTTCTGAAATCACGAGTTCTACACGTGACATATAAAATTGACTATTTTTTTATATTGAAGTAATAAAAAAAATGAACTAGATAATTTGTAATTTTGAGATAATATTTTCTTTAATGTTCTCCAAACCCGGATAACCGGGACTCGAACTCCTATTTTTATAAATTATATTTTTGAATCCAAAACCAGTAACTGGATATTTACCTTTTGTTGAAGGGGGTTCGGCTATCCTCTTTTTATAAAGAACGCGACTTAAAACAACCGGTAATACCAATGTTTCCTATATACCCTTCTTTTTTAAATACTTGTAATAGAAAATAAGAATTTCTAGAAAGAATCGTCTGCCTTTAGACGATAACAATGATGTGCCGCGTTTTAATTGCCAATCCCTCCGAAAATCGCTCATTATCAAAGGTATAGATTATTCCTTGAACCAACTCGATCTCGACAAATCAAATATGAACGCACCGCCAGACGACATGGACACGAATGACAGAAAATACGAAGATCGTCAACAGTTATCCAACTCTAATCAACCAATCGTCAAGGATAAGGACGCTAATAGAGAGAGGAAAAAGAACTTGAAAGAAGATAAAAGGGTGATAATTACGAACTAAATTTTTATCTTTTTAATGTGTAAATCATTTTAAACCCAATCTTTATTATCTATTTTGTTTAAATTTGTTGATCTTAAAGGATTTTGAACAATAAAAATAAAATAGATTTTGAATGTTTTTTATTTATATTTATTTTTAATAGCAAAGACGATCAGAAAAAAAGGTAAATAAGCTGAATTTCAAGAAAGAATTGGATAAAGAACGTTTGCAAAGAATAAACACGCGTTTGAATCATCAATCGGCCTTAAAACTCGCTTAATAATCGCTCTTCGTTCTTATAACACCGAATATTTTAATCAGTGATTGATGGTTTTATTATTTATTCGTTGTAGCACCTTAATAGAAAAATATTACGAACTAAAGATATAATCTGTTCCCTTAAAATAAGCTTAAAAAATGAAATTTTTTGACCCCCAGCTAAATTACAGGATAAATTTTATTTAATAAATTGTGGAAAGCACATATAAACGTTTATAAATAATTATACCCTTTTTCTAGCGTAACATTCATAAATAAATTATTATATCATCTTTATAATAATATTTTTTTTTCTCCCAAATTTACGATTAATTTAAACATGAAACAAAATGTCATTTTTCTATACAAAAACACTATACATATAAATAAAGTCAGTAAAGAGGAATGTGAAAAATAATAAATTAAAAAAAGAGACAAATCAGATATTTAAATACAATGTATAAATATTGTTACTCATGATTTTTTCTTATCTATAAATCTTATTTGAAAAAGAAAAAAAAGATTATCTTTTGTTTTTCAGCAGAATTGATTGCGCTAAAAATTATGATGAATAAAACATATTTTATATAATAGGAATTTTTTTTTAGATCAAAGAATCTTGAGTTAAAATGCTTGATTGTTGGTTGGTGCTTCGAGCATTGTTGTTTGCGGATAATGAGGCTAATTGATTTTGAACCTTTTTTTTGAAAAAATATATATCACAAAAACGTATAGATTAAAACTATTTATATAAATCATTAAAATGTTAGACCTAAAGTAGATATCTACAAAGCCCGGCCCATTTGAAAGTCCAATAATAGGGGCAGGCAACTTGTGCGAAAATCGGGCTTTGCAGATCTTTAACAAAATTAAGCCAAAAATATTTGTTGCTAAGAATCTTATTTTATACTTCTGCTCTCCCCAGCTCATTCGTTCTATCATCAATTTTAGTACTTTTTGCTATATTTTCAATATAATATAAAAGCGTATAAATTATTATAACGATTCCTTTGTTTGTATACAAAAATGATTTGGTTAACGAAATACTTAGCCATTTTTTTTTACTTCACCATCGGTTTTTATAATTTTTAAACCTAACAAGTAATGAAGGTCAAAGATTGGACCTAAACTGAAGACTGATTGCAAAGGACCAGCAAAGAAACGATTTTTTTAAAACTGATCGCGTGCCACCTGGACATTGATGTTAACTCGAGTCATTAAAATTTTACAAAGAATATTTATTATTTTTTAAATGGTTAAAATAATGTCTTGAGGTTAGATTCTTAAAAATTACATTTATAATAATAATGAGAAAACTTTTCTTAAGTAATCTTGTTGAAGTGTTGAGTTTTGGGTATGGTTTAGATGATTGGTCATGTTATTTGGCTGATATTGATATGAATTCGTATTCTGAATTGGTATAAAATAGTAAATAATCAATGAAAATTTTAATCAGTAGATCTTAGAGATTGGATCGATATTATGAAGAAACCCCTCTTATATTTTTTAATTTTCTAACAACTATTTAAAATTTAAATATAAAATATTTTCTTCTCCCATCCCTCTATATTATCACTAATGCCAGAAGAAATAAAGTGTTAATATAACAACCCTTGAGAGGTTTTCTTCGGTCTGATTACACCCCAGAGATTTGAAATGGTTATATAAAAATATTTTCTTGAATTAATTAGGTACTAAAATAGTTAGGGAAAGACATTTGTAAAAATTTATAAGAAATCCATATTGTAGTTGATCTGGTAAAAAAAATTGCACACTGACATAAAATCTGGACCCCATACCATTGTTTTCAACGACAAAAAAAATTAGAGGTAACAAGTCTAGATTTACTTCCCACCCATAAGATACCTTTAGATTCAAAATTTTCATAAAAATAATTATGTATTGAGAAAAGGGGGGTATCAGTGACTATACCCCCTTCCCCCTAAAAATATATGGAGGCAACTGTCTAGTGGTAAACACTACCTTGTACATTCTATATTATTGATAAGTATATAATTCACTTTTTGGTCTAGGTTGGCTAAATGATTGTTAAACATGTTATTTGAGTTTGGAGGGAATTGATTCCTATTATCGAACCCATTATTGGACAATATACCTTAAATAGTGTTATGCATTGAAAAAGAAAGTATTCAAAATATAAATTTAACTGTTAATTTTGAATCTGTTTGTTATATTCAAAAGAAAACTCGTAGATATTATAATCTTTATTAAATATTCATGAACGTCTAAATAAAGAGACTATAAAAAATTAATTAAAACTTAAAAGCCTGAAATTCCCTTTATTTTTACATCTAAAACGTTTATCATGTTTTTACACAATTGCACAAAATTCGAATTAATACCAAAATCTATTTTAAATCATTTTCGTGTATGCTTAAAAAAAATATAACAAATTTTTATCTGCTGATAAAATCTAACCTTTTATATTCTTTATTCAGGTAAATTTAATATATTTTATCTATCATTTTCTTAAGTTATATTTTATATATCTAAATTGAATAAACATTACGATATAATCAATTTTGTCTATATTTATAGAATGTATTAAGGAAATTGTAAAGATATACATCATAATTTAAGTTTTATATTTGAAATATAATGATGAAACTTAAGTTTGTGTCTGACCATGATCATCGTGTTTAATATCGATCGGTTACATTATTGTATTATCATTTTTTTATATAATGGTTAATTAAATTAGATTTTTTATCGTGTAAAAAATTTGCACATGGCCATACCTTTGTCTACGTATTTTTTTAAAGTGACTTATATATTTTTAATATAATAAAACATTGTTAAAAAGTTTATTTCGCTTTTTTATATTTTTTAATTTCTTTTTGTGATATTGAAATTTTAAAATAAAATTGTATTTGATTTTTAAAACTTGTTTGAAACCTATAATAACAAAAAAAAATTTTAATACCCCTTGTAACAATAATCTTGCTAAAAAAATATATTAATTTTGCAATCTTATAAATTTTTCAAGGCTAATATTAAAAATATATCTAAATAAGCTCTTAGGTCATGTTAGGTCTTATTTTTAAAAGTGGTCTAAGATTTTGAAATAATACACCCTATTTTAATTTTATTTTAAATAAATAATATTTATTTATATATTTTTTTTTCAATACAAATAAATATGATCTTTAAGGTAAATCTAAATAGCCTCATTCCTTTTAGACAGTTTAGAGGAAGTTACATAGACGGCTAAACAGGCGACTGTTTAGACAATAAGACTAACCAGGAAATGGCCTTAAATTTTATATAATTTGAATTATTTAACTTAATGCGAAAATCGCAATTTATTTTAATTTTTCGAGCTAGAAAGGGGTTAAACATAATTTTCTAAAACATGGCAATGCTATTAATCAAATATCTTATCGTAATAATTTTATGGCGGAAAATTTAGAATATTTTCATTATAAAAACAGATATAGAAGTGTTGTTTTTTTAAGAAACTAACTCAAGTCTTTGAACGAATCCGCATCCGGTTTGGAATATAAGGCCATGATGGCCTCTTTAGTCGTGGCGGGAATCGATTTTTGGCGCTCGTCGGTGACAATTTTATCTGACTCTTTGCCGAAAACTATATCGTTCAAGAGGTGAGACGAGGAGCCGTTATATACGGGGCATTTAACCGCGTCATTTAAAAAATGGTAAGTATCGAGTGGAACGTTGTTGATGTGCGACGCTGGATGATCTTTTTATTATTTTTTTGGAGGAAGTATAAAATATTCTCGAAAAAGTTTTTAGGGGTAATATGGTTCCGTTCAATTAAGGGTTCCCCAAGAAAACAAATATGGCCATTAAACCGAAACTGACTCCATCCCTTTCTGCGAGTATGAGGTCTCAATTTAAAAATGGGATTTAACAAGTATGTAAATTGATGAAACCTTCAAAATGTTTCCATCTAAACAGATTTTTTCCTTTCAAAAAAAAAATAAGAGAAACTCTTTAAGGATCTAATATAATAATTCCTTTTTTAAAGAAGATACATAGCTAAATAAATTACAACATTTTGCCAAATCAAACATCACACTAAATAAACTTTCGTTTCTCATTCCGGCGAATGAAATTTTTTATGTTATAGCCAAGCTTACTTAAAGTCCCAAAATTTTTGTTTTATTTTAGAAATATGAAAGCCCTGTTTATATATATTTTTTTAAATTATTGCACCAAATGTTTAAAAAAATTATCTTCAATGGGTAAGCAACTACTACCCCCCAAAAACGGTGAGTTATATTATTTAATATTGCAAAAAGAAAGAAGGATAACATAAGGAATTATCAGGTTTCAACCTAGATTAAGGAGCAAATCCGTTCGATTTTCGTTAAGTTTGCTGCACCGGCTGAGATTTAACTGCGAGGTAGTAGTACATGACTTTGTATCACCCGTTTCTTTGGGCTGCACGTGGTTGGTTGGAGCATCAAAAAGGATAGCATAATTATTATTATATATATGTATGTATTATCTTTAAAATTGTAATATATATATATATATACCTCCCTTTCTTCTTTCTTTAGTAACTATAGTTAGGCAATTACTATACTTTTTAGCCGTTTAAGTCAATTTTTAGTCGTAACACTGTTTTTTTGGCCTCGGAAATTTTTCTTAAAACAGCTCAAATGTGAAAGATACTAATATAAATTAAAACGCCTTAATGTTACAATGGATTTTATTCGGCACATGTCTGTAGGTTGAGCAGACATATAGCCATCACCCAACTATAATAGTAACATAGCAGAGTCCTAAATATAATGGAATCTATAAATTGTCTTAAAAGTGTTGAAAGATATTTAAAAAAGTAGATTCTATGTTTTGGTTAGTAGATTATTCTTCATTTATTCATTTTCTTATATACAATATATTCAAAACAAATTTATTCCCCAGAGACCTGCAGGTCCGGCTACCAAGTACACGGGTCAGGATATATTTTTTTCATTTAAAAAAATCCGGGCTGGTCCTGCAAATGGTACCTCTGCAGGTCTCCGATACATAGATTGTAAACAAACCAATGTAGATCTAATATCGGACAAGGGCGTTGTCAAGGAGCTCATAGAACTATTAGAACTAATTTTCCCGGTGGATGGATTCTGAACATTAGTCATCGATAATATGTTACGTTTTTTCTTTTTATCTTTCACAATATCTCTCTCCATTTGTTCCTCAAATTCTTTTGCCTTTTTTAAAAAAATATATTCATATAAATTCGTGTTCAGTATAGTATCCGAATGATTAATTGATTGACATGTCAATTAATCTAAAATTCACTTTTGGGAATAAATAGCCATATTAATATAATTACGTATGATTCAGGCATCATTCAGTTATAATCTTACAATTAAAAGATATCTGCAGTATAATTACTAATAATCTCCATAATTTCTTTATTAAAATTCTTATTTATTGTTTATAATTGTGTTCCCAATAAGGAACCATAATTATATCTAAAAATTTCCATATAAATTTTTTTGACATATATATAAAAATTTTAGAAATAAAAAAGGTTTGTTCGTATATAACTAAACTTTAATCAAATTCGGAACGATCTTGTCAAGTTTTAATTCCTAGGGCCCAGAGAAGTCTAAGTAAATTTTTTATAGAATAAAAGATTTTGGGCCCGTATTGGAGTTCGCAAAAGTTAGAAACATTTTTAGTAATGACAAGTACTCAACTTCGAATGATATGGCTTGATTTGTCTAATTTGACTTGAAATATTCACTTTTCAATAAAAGGTGTTAATCGACAAAAAAAATAATATATTATAATATATATATTTCTTTAAAAACTTTATTTTTAATGTATTCGGTCGTGGGCGGTACCCACTCTTTGGCGAGGTACTTTTTAGCTTCATATTTGGCGCGTATGAAAGTTTCCAAGGATCTGGAAAAAAATATATATATTTCGCAGGAAGAAAACTTTCCCTTTGACACCTAAATGGTGTTAACAAAATAATGAAAATATAAGTTGCTTAGTAAAATGGAACCTGAAAGAACAATTTTAAGGAAAAAGTTTTAACAAGAAGAATCAAATCAACCACAAATATGAAATAGTAATGTACCTATATTTTAATCCAATCAATATTACATATACAGTAAATCCTGTAAAATTTGGGCACCTCTGCAAGATTGCCCAACTTATTCAAGACTTTTTTTTATTTTCTAATGGTAGTTAATAGGAATCTGATTGGCACTCTCAAAATTTTAATCAAATTAGTGTGCTGCCCGAATCGTCAAAAAATCTAAATTAGACAAGTTAAACCGAGGATAGTTAGACCACAAGGGCTATACATATAAAACCAAAACAAAAAACAAATTGTGTTTTTTTAAATTTAAGAAAATAAAGTAAAGATTTTCATATAGTGATAACTCAGGGACTGGTCACAATATAGATGTGATTAAATATGAAAATTCAAGGAACCGTGGTAAAACCGGCCACTAAAATGAAATGATCAAAATTTGGGAAATTTTATTAACATTTCATTTTTGTTTTCATATATATTTAGCAAAAAAAATTCCAAATCAAACCCCCCCCCCTCCCATTTTTTCAAATTTTAGTTTAATGAAGAGATAGCATCATAAACACCTTCCCCTCCCCAAGTGGTATACCCTGTACTCATATTTGTTCATATTTTTTTTTAAAATAATATATTTAAATTTACTTAATATAAAAAACAGATACTTTTACAAGGGTACGTGAAATGAAATATGATATAGTTCATTTAAAAAAAAAATATATATATGTATTATTTCGTGAGTTATATTATATAACAATGCAAGCGATAATTTTTTTTTCCTTATATTATAAAAATGCGATATCAGTTATGGGCTAATGTCAAATTTAATCAATATAATATGTAAATTTAAATTGGTACAAAAAAAATAAGAAGCAAGTGGATTCGGTTATAAAGAATTTATTCGGGCAAACCTAATAGCTTTTATGATGTATATATATATATATATAATTATTTTTTTTTACGAATCAGTTTGAGGTCTTCTAAACGCGTCGGGCACTGAGGCTTCGTATATGGCTCTAGCCCTACTGTTGCCTATCTCCTGCAAAAGCTATAATTCGTTTATAAAAAATGATACGAGTCAATTTTAAACTTTCTTTTTCGAAAATAGATAATAGGTTAGCGGACGGATATATTTATATTACTAAACTCGTCTTTTTTTTTTATCTGGGATCGGGAACTGGAAAAAAAAATTGTCGTTTCCCAGAAAAATGCGCGAAATAAATTCGGTTCTCAATTCAAAAAAAAATTTTCTTTCTCAAAGTAGTATTTTATATAAGAGAGGATAAAGTTTAAAAAATAATTAGAATAAGTAGCACTTAGAATTAAATGCCAATACTAGACGAATCAGTCGGGAACTTCATATGCTGGTCCTAAATACCCCCTTACCATCATGGTAAGTAAAGTGTTAGGTATTAGATGGGGTTCTTGCGTTTTAAAAGAAAGAATTATAAATAGTATAATCACTTTAATGAATCTATTTTTATAAAACAATCAATCATCAGGCCAAAAAATCGTAATTTTTCATAGTTGTTAAATTTACCATTAAAAAAACGTCTATAAATATAAAACAAAGTTTAAATTATAAAAAAAAACATTTCCAAATGGCACGTATTCCACTTTTAAATTTATGTTTTTCTTTGCTATATTTTAAAAATGCATGTTTTTTTTAAAAAAAGGAAAATATATTTTCATCTGGTTTGAGAGAGTTATATTAAACATTATATAAATGCATATAATACTTTAAGAAATAATTTGTTAAATAATTGTATATCTAATAAATGGAAGGCATTGTTTGTAAAGTAAAGAAAAAAATTGTGATAATTTTATGGCCAAAATTTTTTTTTACAGAAATAAGAGATTGAGAAATGTTTATGATTCCCCGAAGAAAGTTGGCAAGGAATAATTAATAAATTGGTAGAAAGTAACGAAATATGGGTTTGGGAGACAAATAAAAACCACGATAGAAAGGTGGCGTAATGATTGCCATATCTCGCTTAATCCTTATCTTGTTCCAATTCCAGTTGGAGAGGGGGGGGAGAAGAAACAAAGATTTCACATGCAAAAAAATAATAGTAAATAAAATAATGTTCCATCTGACTTTTTAAAAAATGCGCTTGACTCAAGCACGCGTAACTAAAGCGATAGTAACAATTATTATTTTTTCAAACCTGCAATTGTTCGGCGTTCCAGGCGTCCAAGTTGATAGATTTTATCCTGGAAACGTGGCATCCCAAGTTTCTATGAATTCCCGCGCATCGGATGCAAAGGAATATGCCCAGATTCCAAGACGCCCATCTAGGACCTATTTTTTTTGTTAACAAATAAAAAATTTATATAAGCGCATGCGCAATTGTTTTTGTATAACGGAAAGATTTAATTTTTTAAAAAACATTACAAAAAATCAGGCTCTACTTTTAGGACAAATGTTAAGCTCTGAATAAATATTTATATATGGGCATGCGCACACTGTTTTTTGGATAACGGGGAGAATTTTTATTTAAAAAAAAAATTAATCTTGATAAAAAATAATTGAGATAATAATTTCTTACAAATTTATAGTAAAGTATAACTGTGTAACAAGGTTATTATGTCACACAACTTTTTATACATTTTTTAAAAAAAATTAATTACTTTTATAATAATATTTTTTCAAAAAAAGATATGGTTTGTAAAAAGAAAATAAATAATTTTTTAGGATAAAAGATAAAAAAAATTGGAGAAAAGATAAAAAAAAAAGAAGAAGATATGAATCGTAATAAATTTTTTAAAATAAAAAGAATAGATTAAAAAAATAAGAAAAAATATTTAAAAAAAAAAGAAAATATGAATTATAATAAACTTTTTAAATAAAATAAATAATATTAAATTGTTAATAACAAAATTTAAATTAAAAAAAAATATATATAAATAAATTGTACGCAAACTTTTTTAAAGAAAAAAAAAGATATGTGTTGTAACAATTTCTTTTTTACAAATATTTTAAACAATATGTCCGACCCGGCCAGAAAATCGTTTCTCTCGACCTAGTTTTAGGTCTGCGCCAGCCTAGACCAAATAACCTAAGAACACCGCTCCTCATAACATGAAAACATAAAACAAAACAAACAGTTCTCCTTTAAATAACGCTATTTTTTGTAACTGTTGGTCCTTTTTCCTCACTTGGCACCCCGAGGTCTTATCCTTTTTTTTATTACAAATAATCGGCTGTCGATCCAAAAAAGGAGAAAATATTCATTTGAGAACTAAATCACAAGCATAGAAAATTGTAGATCCAATACCGATCTTGCGTGGTTTTTCTTCTTAGTTGTATATCATAAATTAATGACATTAAATATTAACCTAAACCGAGAATTAGTTCACTAAAAATACATTTTTAAAAAATGAGCATGCATTTTGAAGCTCGCCATTGTTAGAAAAACATTTAGAATCTCCGTGAGCCAACGTGACAATTGACTAAATCTAATTTCGAGGGTATATACACTTTTAATAAATCAAGTTACCTACTTATTAATTTCACTTATAACCTGCTTACTCTAGCGGAGACTTAAAAAAAATACAACAAATATCCAAATTATTCCCGACAAATCACGACTTCTGCCAACGGACAGTTTGCTCCTATCATCTTAGAATTAGGTTATAAAATCAAATTACAAACAAGTGAACCTAAGGAATTCTTATTCCTTACCCTGCATTCACGGTTAGTGCTAATTCGCGGGCGAGGTATACAAAAAATGTAAAATTATTATATCTAATATCAGAGACCGGCTGAGGTACCATCCTGGTTTTTATATTTTCAGGCCCGGTCCGGATACTTTAATAATATTTATCTAATTTTTATAACTAATAATGGCGAAAAATACACGGCCCAGCCCGCAGTGTTGTTAAAGTAGTGCGCTACTTTTTTCAGTAGCGGTAGCTTAGGCGCGCTACGCTTTTTAAAAAAAATGCGATAGCGGTAGCTCGCTACTTCCATTTTATTAAATATATACATATAAAAATCGCTAAAATGTATTTATAATTATTTTCTAAAATCATAATATTTTTATTTAATTTTTAAATTTATATTTAAAAATTTGCAATTATAAATCTAGTTTTCAATTCACAATTTAAAATGTCGACGATAGAGATTGATATTGAATATAATTATGGTACAGATCATATCGACAAAGTAATTTCCATGGAAAATGATGATAACATGGAATTTCCTTTTCCCGAATTCGCAAAAATAATTTTTATCCCGATAAAAAAAATTAACAGAGAATGAATGTTATTGTAAGATGTGTCGGAAGATTTTATCATCAAACAAGACTAATAGCTTCAACAAGGAAGCATTCAAAATAATATATTAAACAAATTTATATATTAGTGCAGACCAATCCTTAATATTTTAAAATGAACTTTGCCTCAAAGCCGTATCTAAAATAGTTTTTGAGCTAGATGAGTGTATGTCCCAGTCCAAACATGGTACGTTTCAACTGGCCATAAGATATATTATTCAAGAATTATATTATGAAATTAAAAATTACAATAAATTAATAAATATTAAAATGATGATATTTTACAAAATTATCGTCTGAATGTTAAACAGGCTTAGAATTAACCACTCATCAATTTATATATTTACAAATTTTATCGAAACACGCTATAAAAAACTATTTATTTCAATCCTTTCAACATTTTAACCAATTTTGAGAGAAATTAGTTCGATAAATAAAAAGTTATAGAGTGGGTGACCTTGGCCATCCACTACGTAATTTTTTATTCTTACTATTACTAATATAAATTTTAGACTGACCCTAAGCCAGATCGAAAACGCTACCTACTACGGATAATTTTTATTTGAAATAAAAAATAATACTATTGAAAATCCTTTAGACCCATTTTTTTTTATACTTAAATCAAGTAATCAATGATGAAGATTTCCATCAGCTGAATCCTATTAGCAATATAAGATTTACAATCTGATTTGAACCTTATAGAATATTCTAAACTAGTTGAATAAGCTGAAATAATAGGTACCTTTCGATCTGAAGATAAAGTGCCCCATAAAATTCAGTTTTAAAAAAATAATACTCGAATGAATATTTTTGATGAATATTAAATTTAATACTACCTTACGTGCTAGTTATGAACGATTATTTTAGTCATAGCTGGTGTTGCTAAACGGCTCAATTTGGAGGCGATTTTTTAAAAACGGCTAACTCAATATTTTATCCCAAAAAAAAATTAGACAAGCCATGAAGATTTTGCTTATAGATGGCACAAAGCTTCAGACGTCTATTAGCGAAATCTCAAGGCTTAATCGATATTTTTCTGGCTAACAATATTTAGTTAGTCCTTTTAAATATCGGCTTAAACGAGCCGTTTAACAACATTAGTCATAGCTTACACATTCTGGTGGTCGCTCTAGACTTGGTAATGGGCCGGGTATGGGCCTGGGGGCCGGCACCCGGCCCACGAAGGTCTCTGTAGCGCGCAAGTAGCTTTTAACAAAACTGTCGGTCCGGATACTTTTTTTATAAAAATTCTTAGGCCCAGCATTAAAACCCGTGTCTCCGGGCTAGGCCTGCAGGTCTCTGATTATCTTAATGATAGGTCAACCCTTTGTAGGCCTTTGACCATGTTATATTTTTGTATAAAATAATTTTGGAAAAAAATTATTAACTTTTACTTATTTTTCTTTCAAATTCTTATTTATAGTGTGATTATAGAGATCTGCAAAGGTAGGCCCGGCCCGTACCTGGCCTGAACGGGTTTCGGACCGGGCTCGGTCCTAATTTTATTTAAAATAATCGGGTTCGGGCTGGGCCTAATATTTTTAAAAAAATTCGGGCCGGGTAGGACCTTGGAAATTTTTTTTAAATATATCTAAATTTATCAATTTTATATTGAATTTTTTTATGTAAAATATAAATATTTGATTTTATTTATTGAAACTAAACGACATATAACATATGTCTTTTATTTTGATTAATTATAAAAATTAATTTTTAAATTTAAATAAATTCGAGCCGGGCCGGTAAATTTAAAAAAAAATTCCGGTTCGGGCCAGGCCGGGTTTAAAAAAATAGGCTCGATGTAAATCACTAGTTTGATATATTGAATATATTTTGGGGAAAAAGGTGGGGGGGAGGGGGAGGCGATAGTGTGTATGGGGAAAATTTTATTAGCTAAAATGATAATTAAGAGAACAGACAAATTTCCTAAGGGAAAAATTCCCCTTATACTCTCTTTTCCTCCTACCACTATGTACTGAATTTAATATGAACCCTGACTCGTCATTTAATGATGCCATTTAAATGATTCAGAATGATGAAATAGAAATTATATCATCCCTTCCTACAAGTATCACCAAAACAACAGACTTGAATGTTAAAATACTCTGGCCAAGCATCAAAAAATCAAAAAGTCTTTTGGATTTACATAGAGAAAATTGATAGTGCAGGCAATAGTAGTGTGTTAAGTGACTCTCATGTAGTGTTGATAAATGGTCAGATTAGAGTAGATTTTTTAAAAAGGGCCTGAATAAGATTAAGGCAAAATAATATTATGTAAGGCAGGAGATTTTGATCATAGATGACAGAAAAGGTTTGGACCTCTATTTGCCAAATCTCGAGGCTTGCATAATATTATTTTGGCTAAAATAATAATCAGGCCATTTAACAACACTACTCCTATGCCTTCCAGAAGAAAGGCATATTTCAGTATCTAAATCATTCATGGCCAAGCTACGGGAACACATCTCTGTAAGATTATTTTCACATAACTTGTCTTAAATTAATTGTACTAAATTTTAGTTAGATGTACATGTGACAAGATTTTTGTTTAGCTAAATATTATATGGAATTAAACGAAATTAATAATTAAAATGACTTTGTCTACTTTCCCAAGCAATGCACATGTTCTTGTCTTACATTAAACTTATTAGAAACTTAAGATGACGATAAGATCTTTTAAAGAAATAATCATAAGAAACCATATAACATTGCCATATCAAAATGCCAACCTTTATTTAATTTACAAAATAAGTCTGGCCCATCATCTGAACTAATTAAAAAGAGATTAAATTATTACTTTTTATTAAATAAATGTTATCCTTATACCAAGTGCTGTCATAGAACATTTGTTCTATCTAGGGAGGCTTATTTATGAAGAGAAACAATCACACCCTTTGACAGAAATGTTGAAAATAAAATATTATTAAAGGCAAATAAAAATTTACTGAGCCAGATTTTTATAAAAATAATCAGTGCACAAATATATAAGATATTCTGATATTTAATTTCAGTGTTAATATACTCATATTTTTTTTAACTGTAATTATATTTTTATATTAATAAATTGTATATTTTCTTATAGAAACCTTTGATTAAGATCTGTAAATATATAAAAAAATGATGAGTCGTATAAATCATTTAAAAAGTAACTTAAAATGTAAAATTACTTTTCTAAAGTAACTTTTAACAACATTAATAATTTACTTTAAAAAAACCAAAATTCAACTTATTTTGTAATGTTAAAAAAAGACCAAATTATTTTAAAGGGTAAAGTAGCTAAATATTTGATATTATTTTTTATTATTCTATCTACAAGAAAATGATTTAAAAAACATCTACAGAGTAATAATGAGTTCAACCATATAAAAGTTGCCTATATTTTAAATGAGATTATTAATTTTTGAAGAATAAAAAAAATAAAATATATTTAATCTCTCAAAAAAGTTAGTTGCCTTATTGTTGAATATGTATTGATTTTTTTTATGACATTGGTTTAAATATAGATGGTAAATAATACAAATATTGGTTTAGTACTAATATCAGATGATATCAGATTGCTGAAATATTTGTGAATCAGCACAGTCATACTTAATTTGTTATTTTTAATGCATATTTTATAATCAAATAAAGAAATTTAACTTCCCAGATTCGTTTTTTTAAAAATATATAAAAGAGGAGTTCAGTAATGTTACTATATTGTATTATTTTCAAAAAATAGGTTTTATTTAAAAAAAACAAAATTTTTTTTTAACCAGGAATATAATCTAAGTAATTATTATTGTTATTTACAATGATGTGGTTTTCAAGATATTTTTAATTAATGAAGGCAGATAATGGTAACTATATATATCCTTTTTCTAGTTTAAACCCTAATATCTTCAAAAATATAAATATTAGAAGGCTTTGTCTATTTCTTAGTAACATTAATCTTTCTTCGCTTACCAAATTTTAAAAAATGAAGTTGCTCGATTTGTCATGGAATGACCTTAGATTATCAGTTTAGCACCTAGCCCATAAATTAAGAAAATAAGGTTTAACTAATTAATTCTAAAATTTCATGATTCAAATAATTATATTTAATTTTAATATCTGTAGTTTAAAAGTGATAGTTTACATTAAAAATATCAATAAATAAGGTGTATTCTAAATATATAAAATGGAGTTCTTTCAATTCAATCTGGATTATAATATCCTTTATTATGAACAAGAAATTATTAATAATTTATCTAAACATGTATATATTATATGGATAAGTTAGTTTTAAAAAAAAGAATTAAAATATAAGTGCATGCACTATTTTCAAAAAATATTGTAAAATATAAAACAAATTTATTTAAATTAATTATTTGAGCCTATAAAAAAAAAATTTCTCACCTTTGGCATCACAGTCAGCACAATATTTATTTTCTTCATCTTTGAGAAGGTCCGTTAAAATAATTTGATATCTATCTTGCTTGATTTTTTCTTTTTCTTTATCTCGTTCATTTTTAAAAGGCATGAAATCTGTAGAAATATTAAACTTATCAAAAAATCATTAAATGGAGGGGGATAAAAGGTAAAATTGGAATTTGGATGGATGAAAACAATATGATAGGAGGTATACTTGTGGATATATAACGTTGGTAGTTATATAGCAATTTACAACAAATCAATGTTAATTTGCAAACCCAAATATGTTATTAAAATGCTAAAAAATTCCATTAAATTCTATAAATTCCTTCTCAATCCATATGAAAGTTACAAATATGGCATTATATATCAATAAAGATTTGGCCGATTTGATATCCGTTGACATATGCATGGAAACGAATGCAGAGTAGAATTAATTATAAAAGGGAGATGTATTTTAGAAGAATGTTCGTCCTAATGACACTTTAAATTTATAGAGTTCAAGCAGTTGCCCATGCAACGGGGGAGGGAAGTAGGGGCGTCGTTAGCCCAGGCGCGTAACCAATGGGGGAAAAGGGGGAAATTCCCCCCCCATCGCAAATTTGACTATTTTCATAAATATCATTTTAAACTAATAAAAATTTTACCCCTACCCCCCAGACCCCCCCCCCACCAATCAAAATTTTACAAATATTTGAATATCAATTTTCCAACATATTATTCAAAAATATTAATAAAATGGAAAAATATTTAGTCAAAGAGATTGAAATCAAACGATAATTTATAAATAAGGTTGAGCATGAAAAAAAAGTAATGTGTCGTTAGCAGCGATATCATTATTGAATTCAATTGATCAATCAGAGTTTATCATTGCTGCTAGTTGCATCAATAAATTATTTTCCTATAGCTCACTACTTTGTAGAAATTTACAAAAACCAATTTAGATTTGGTTCAGGTTATTGATTTGGCGGAAAATATACATGAACAGGTAGATACAATAAGAATGAATGTATACGTTGAACCGAAGGCTAAATTTTATGATATAATACTAATTAAACCTCGTCTAGCACCTAGGCCATTATTGAGATGAAAATAAATATTGGCTCAACTGAAGAATATTATAAAATATTCATTTTCATCCCATTCTTAGATACTTTTTTATCGCAAATAAAAGTACGGGTTTTAGATAAAAAACAAATCTTTAGCAATCTTCAAGTTTTATTACCCAAAGATCCTTCTTCATTTTCTAATGCCACTATTGGTAAAATTAAATATTTAGAAAAATTTTATTCCTATGAGATTGATACTGAAATAAATTTAATCAGTGAATTCGAATTGTGGTATAAATATTTATACGTTTAGCTATTTTACCTGAGCATGCTATTGATGCGCTCAATAGGTGTAAAGAAACCTTGGCTCAATTTCCTAATATTTCGAAGTTGTTTTATATTCTTGCATGTTTGCCTATTACAACATGTACGAATGAAAGGACTTTTTCCAACTTGAGAGGGTTGAAAACATATTTACGAAGTACTGAATCTCGGCTAAATGGGTTAGCTCTGTTAAATATAGACAGAGATTTGGTTCCAACGACAAACGAAATAATTAAAAATCTTGTATTTGATAAGAAGTTAAAAAAAACTTGTTAATTTAATTATTTTCTAGTCAATATTTTAAACTACTATTAGTATTTTCAATAAAAAAATTATATTCTACTTATATTTTATGAGAATTTAAGCTGAGGCTAGTTTTTTAAAGCAAATTTTATAAAAAAAATGACATTACACTTTATTTCAACTTTACATTTAAAAAAACTTTATTAAATATAATATACCTATCTCGAAATAATAAAAAAGAGGCTTTTAATATCCTATCCATAAGCACGAATTAGTAAATAATAGTTAAAAATAGAAATATAATTAAATTATGAATAATTTAATAGAATAGCTAAATAAGACTCGGCCGTAGGCCGGGGGAAAGCTGAAGGCCAGGGAAAGGGGTTTGCGGGCGAAGCCCCTAAAAATTCCCCCCCCCCTATAAGAAAATCCTGGATACGCCACTGCGTTAACCTTTACAATCTCAGGGGGCTCAACTAAAAAAATTTATGGGGGGAAAGCCCTCCCATGCCACCCAATTTTCGGGCCTTCGGCCCACTTTTTCCCGGCTTCGGCCGGGTTTTATATTAATATATTACTGAATATTTATATTAATTACAAGATGATTAAATTATTATAATTTCGTTATATCGACGATTTATAACAAGGTATGTTATAATAATGGTAAAAAAAATATATAATATTAGTAAATAACAATTATATAAAGTCATTAATTCTTGCTATTTTTTTATTGATTGAGATTCAAGTTCCCTTTTAGCGCTAACATTATAATAGGCAACAAAATGGCCAAAGTCAATACTATGCATAGGATGTTCAATTACGGGGTTTTGGATATTAATAAAATAAAGCTAAGATAATTATATTTTACTATGTTTATGGCTAATCGTTGGCGTAGGTAGAATCCCTTGTTGGGATCCTCGGTCGTATCAGAGATCCGTTTTCCCAGCTTTTTAAAGAAGTCTAGGGCATGCCAAACGACGTTAGAGTAGTGACGATTAATGGTAGGAATGTGTAATTGGCGGGAAAATATGGCGAATATTTTTTTAAAATTGTTAACTCTGAACAATTATTCTGAATTTTAATTATTATATTATGCATACCATACAAAATAAACTGGCATAAATAATTAAAACAATACAAGACATTTCTAAAAATTAAATTTTTTATTACAAAATCTATTTATTACAGTATATAATATTTTCGATTGCCGATATAAAAAAAATTTGCATCTAAAGAATTACAAGTGATAAAAAAGATTAATTAATTTATACATATGCCTCAATTGAATTAATAATAGTTTTTAAAAACCCCATAATGCAATAATATAATTCTTAGCAACTTACATTGACAAAAGGTTATCAAATTAATATAAATCTCTGTTAGCATTTTACACATTTATCGAATGGCCTAATAAGGAAAAATTTATAGGCCTAAACCAAATCAACAATTCTTGAAGAAGAGAGTATAAACGACCAATCCAAATCATAAAAATATTAAGTGGTTAGAGCTTCCTTTTATATGACATTATGGTAGCTAGATAAGTAATCGAGAAAATTATTGTGAGATATTAAATTTCTAAAAGATTATCACCCATTTTAAATGATAATATAAATAAATGACTACACAGTTGACCATTATTGTTTATCTAAAATATACAATCATATACTATCAGCCGTTATAGTAATAATCTAAAATTACATAGCAACACAAATAATAGATACTAGTTAATTTGCAGTAATAGCCATGACACTCACGATGTAAGTATCAGAATTTATTATGTTGGATAAATTGATAAAATAAAAACACTAAAAATCTTTGGAAGAAATAATTGTGCAAATATATTGAAGCCTTGAGTTATTTACACGGCAAGGATTCCATATTAGAAATGAAACATTTTGGAACTATAAAATAAGGACCAGAATGATATGATGAAACAATTAAGATTTTATATATTGTCGCACCACCTCTAGTTGGTATATTATATCTTAAAATATAAGTAGTTTGTAAAAATATCAAAAATATACTTGTATTAAAAATTCAACTCAAAACAGTTTTTTGAATAAGAAAAAAAAATAACTTTCCTAACGAAAAAAAGAAAAGATATCAAATTTCATCTATTATAGGATGAATAATAAAATGTTTAATTTTTAAAATTATTTATAACTAAATAGATGGCGTTGTAAATTGTTACTATATTTATTATCAAAAGCATTTATTTGTAAAATTCATTATAATATTAACTGTAATATATTATAACTGTCAAAAACGTCTATAAAGTGGCATTTTATCTAATATTTTATAAACAACTGTATATAATAGAGGATTATAAACTATATGTCTACTTACTTACTTTTTATTATACTTATTTGGAACTGGAAAATATTTTTAGGAATAGATATGATAATAAAATTTAAAAATAAATATACAGTTGATTATTCATTTTGAACTCTGCTAATTATAATATAATGAAAGAGAAATTGTATATAATTGAATAGAATAAAGTGTGAGCGATTGTATTGAATAATTAAGGAAGAATGATGATTTTTCAACTAAGATAAAAAAAACAAAAGGTGATAATCATGATCATTTAAGTATATATACAAAATTAACATCAATTTAATATTAAAATAAAAATTATTGTATAACTTTTCAAAACATCAATTTAATGTTAAATATAATATATCGTTTTAAGCCTTAAGTCTTCTACAATACAAAATCCATTAATAAACATTGTTACTTGTATTTAACACAATATTAATTTTTTTAGTTTTCAATTAATAAATGATTATATTAATTTAATTAGGGTTATAATATAATTTAAATAATAAAAGTCAATTAAGCTTCAACTGTTAATGCTAAATTAATATTTAGTGAGTAATATTGATATTCTATTTTTAACACAAAATTTAATTTCTAGCTGACATAGTGAAAATATAATTTATATGTATTTATTTTTTAATATTTAAAATAGTATTCATTTAATAAATATTTAGATAGTCTCATTAATTTTTAAATAATAAAATTAAATCTATATTTTACTTAATAGAATTATAAAAGAAATCTTTCAGGGGGCAATCAAAAAAATTTGTTTTTAGTTCAAGGGGTTAAGATTCCATTAAAAAAAATTTTTTTGCTTCAGAGAGCTATTCAAATTTTCCAGGGGACTCTAGCCCCCCCCCGTAGCGACGCCACTGGAGGGAGGGTCCGAAGCAAATGTTTCTGAAAATTTGAGTGGGGGTACTTTTTTTGAATTTAATTCTTTTATTGTTTTACTACACCCATCCATAACTTGTGATTTTTGGTTTATGATATCGGACTAGACATTAAAATGAAAAGTTTTTGGCCTAACATGTCTCTTATTTGGAGATCCACACTCAAATTCAAAATGTACATGTGAAGGTCTAAATAAATGGCAAAATTTTAATGGTGATTTTATTGTGCATGCATCTTCAGAGGCATGGCACATATGATGACCTATTATGGAAAGCTTTCTCAAGATAAAAATTCCATATTACAATTTATAATACCCCAGAAAGAATGTTTATATAATAACCGTTTTATCATAAAAATAATAATAAGATGTCT